TGAGTATCATACTTGAGAGATTGGTATTGAAATACTGATTACGTATTAGTTTTAATAAAAGAACTCCTTTGAACATCAATAACTCCGTTTACTTAACGCAGTATGTACTCATCTACGTCATGTAATGAGATAACGTGTGCTTTACTATTTTTGGCCTTTCAGGGTTGCTTCCTAGTCGCTTCGGCTGCTCAATGTCAATTGTATTTGTTCTCTAACTCGATAATGAAGTCGACAATGGTGACAAATTTATTGCACAGCTAAAACTAAACTTAATTTTTTTTATCCTGTCAAGTCAGTTTTTAAATCTGTAAATATTTATTTACTTAATATTTTATAGAAAACAAAAGTATAATTAGGTACACTTTCTTTTCAATAAAAGAATAATGGCTGTCTACGTACAATGCTTCAATCTGCGGTCACTATCCTCGGCAATCAAGGTAATAACTTAAAATAGGACACTCAACTGTGTCGCTATTAAGAAAAAATAAATAAAATGTATAGTACCTACTTTACATTTTTTTATTTCTATACATACATATTGATATCATTCAAGTGCTTGCCGGCTTTAGTACTAACGACAATATGATATTTTCCTAAAATATTACGATACCTTTTCTAATCAACATATAATAGCAATCAGTACATGATGTGGGTAATCACAAAATGCCAGATTTACTTAGTTGAACTTGAATCTAATAGCGACAAACTACCGTATGACGGGCGGCTTATTCACAAATCGAAGAAGCCGACGACTAGACCGAATTATCTATCGACGCTAGAAAAAACTTAACGTGCCGTCCGGCCAGAGTCGGTGCATGTGTAGGAGTCATAACGTTCCATATTTTATGGTTTGAAATCGTTTACAGTCTGCGTGATTTGCTATTGACTGTACACAGGTAAATAATAATAAAAATAACAATTTTCATTCAACATAATAATGACACATGCTCTGTCTCACTTATGTTTTGGTTTATTCTATACAAAGATCTTAGGTTGTAACTATTTTTATATATCGATGGAAAGTCTACGAAATTGACATTTCCTCGATTCGAGTGACAAAAGCGGAGCGAATGTTAGGGAAAAAAGAATCATTAATATCAGGTTAGGTGGTTATTAAATATATTAAGTTAATAGGTAAATTGGACGGTCTACCACCCGCATGTTAGCTAGTTGCCTGCGTCATTTTTAACTAGCCCTGGCTTAGAATAAGTTTTATTGAAGCATTCGGAGCAAATGACGCGTTATGCGGGCCGTTTATGAACGCACGTTTTGTGTTGTAAAATACGTAGCTATTGTAATATATAAACTTTATGGTTTTTCTTTAATCTAGTGTTTTCTAAGTTTGTCTCTAAGTAGCAACTTTCTTCAATTTCCGAGCAGTAAATAGAGAAACCATTTGTCACCTGTCAGCGGCAAATGTTCGTTTGAATTACAAATTTAAAAGAAAATGCTAACAATTGCGAAATAAATCGGAGTATTTTTGGGTGGAGTGAGAATTCTTTTTTTTTTTACTGAATGTATTGAATTGAATTACTAAAGTACGGAGTTTTAAGTGTCTTATTTTTAGCTAAACCAATTTAGTACATAAATTGATGCATACATATGGCCTGACAGCCGATGTAATTTAGCATCGGTGGTCTAAACCGGTCGGACAAGAACGCGACGCGGCTGCAACGCAAGACACCGCTGCATCCAGCACAAAATTTGTTTCTGTTGTATAACTTGGCAAATTGAAACTGTCCTACAGAAATAGAACTAATCTCTTTTGATTACACTATTACAATTGATTAGTTTATTATTTCCAGGAAAAAGTACGCTTTTTCAATAGTATAACTTGATTTTTAGATTTAATTGTTAATAACATTTTAGTAGGACTATATGTTGAAAACATTAAAATTTACGGATATTATTCTTCGGTAATTTATTACAGATAGAAATAGTAATTGCAAATCATTTATATGTAGGCAGCACGGTACGAAATTAGTTAAAATATATTTTAAGTGCATTTACAAGAGATATTTACCAAAAAATATATATATAATTAAAAATCAATAAGAAATGTTCACATTAAATAAAGCAAGTAAAATTAAAACTACTTAGATATGAAATATATAACTGTATAATGTTAAATGAAATCTCTATTGGAATTTCTGGAATAGCTATATAGCTTTCTTTATAGTATTAGTAAAACAGAATAACAAAATCAGCTGCTGACTGGTTTTTATACTAATTGCTTTTAAATATTCAAACTGAAAAGCTTTTAAGTGCATGTGTATATATACATCCAAGACTTTACAGGCGTGTTAAATAAAATACCTAGTAGAACCTATTGCTTTTAAGAACACGAAAATAAACGTGCCGCCATTCGTGGGTGTACAGGAGGGATCTCTGTAACGAGGGGGGCTGATGCGACCCCTTATTTCTATGATAGATAACTAAGCAAGAATTAGGAAATAAACGCATCTACTAGAGACTTTACCAGATAGAAATAGAATAAGTCGATAGAAACTTCTTGCGCGAAAAAAGTTTTTATGTTTAGGCGAAGCCAAGGTTAAGTCTGAGTAAAAAAAAAAATTATCTGAGTGCGATTTTTTGTGCGGCTGTGTTCACTTAATAGAAACTAATATTTTAGTAACTTTATTAAAGAGAACCTAAATGGAATAAAATAGAGAGAAACGATTACTTTTTGCGCGGCCCAAAGCATCAAATATTAGGCGCAAATTATTACTAAATAACGATAATTGTAAAATAGTTAGCGTCAGCCCTTGGGTAAAAACTGACTGAATTTGCAAATTTTCAATATGGTAAGGAATATATTTATTATTGATTTGTTGAAGTATATTATTTATATGTTGCGAAACATAAGTTACTTCAAAATGCAATTATTTTAAAAGCGATAGAACACGAATATTTTAAGTTTTTAATATTACTTATATTCTTAAAATCGAAATTAGATATATCACTGACTGTTTAGTTGACTGTCCTGGGGGCTAACTCTACTAAATAAATTTTGTTTAAATCGAATCGAAAACGAATCGATACCGAACGAAACTACAGTTTTTAATGGTTTTTCTATTCTACTAAGTGACATACAATACAATTCCAGATAAATTGGAACTGGAATTGTATCGTATGTGACTTTGCAGAATAAAAAAACCATTAAAAACTGTAGTTTCGTTCGGTATCGATTCGTTTTCGATTCGATTTAAACAAAATTTATTTAGTAGAATTGGCCCCCTGCTCTTAATTATAAGTATTTTTAATATCAAAAGAGCAGATACAAAGCAGGTACGATATATCGAAGAGTCGCTTTAGACAGACATAATCTTTAGATAAATAAATAGTATTAGGTGAACAACTCAAAATCCCACATTATTATACGTAATTTATCTAAGTAAAAATATTACTTTGTTAGTAGTTTCTAACACCTCTTTTCACTAACCTTAAACAAGGCATAGCTTAACTAGGAAACGCCAAATATTAGGAATCGCCTAAGCAGATTTGTTTTATTCCAAACGATTCTTTTTTTTCTTCATCCCTTGACATATTTATGACCTGTCATATACACAAATGCCTAACGCAAGGCGCCGCATAACAAATATCATCACTTTAGATATTGCTTAATTTCGTTAGATTAGACCTTAGGCGATTCCTAAATATTTGGCAACTCGTGTTTAGTGAAAACGGACATAAATCTCCTAAGATGTTTCTAAGTTTTTAAGTCAAAACAACTTGAAATTGCGCAATGTTTATCGCGTTAAATAGTTTCTTAGTTTGTGTCTTAAATACTAAAACACGCACCATGACGACAAAGTTATTCCACTAGACCTTGAATGTGTACTGATAAACGATTACTCATTCTACACCATTGCTGTTAAAGTTACACACTCCCACACAAGATGGTGCAAAGATTTCATTAATCTTCAGTAAACTCTACTAAAATGTTGCATTAACATTTAAATGGGCATAAGACCTAATTTTAGCCTCCTTTTTGTTCATTTGGAACTTCAAACCATTCTAAGTAGCGCATAGGCTAATACATTATTTTATAATTACAACTATAATGTGTTGAAGTCCAATTTCTAGTAACTCTTATAGGACCAAACTAGGTTATAGTTTAAAAATGGCTAAACCGGTTCACCTGCCCTACCTGGAAAACATTGATAATTATTATAGATTGGAAAGAAAATAGGTTGGTAAACAGATATTTGATTAATTTTGCGAGTATACCTTGGTAATGTTACTTGTATGGTTACTTTATTACCCTAATGTAAATATTGATTTCAAGAACATAGTACAAAGGGGGTACATTTTAATACGTATTAAGCAATTCATGAAATGAGACAGACTGTATCATTAATTTAATAATTTTGTTGTGGGTTGTTTTTCAATAGTGTAGGTTGGTTATGATGTGAAAATAGTTATAGACGATAGCTAATGTAATAGCGAGACTATTCATGACGTTATATATTAGGTTTAAAAGCGGATTATTACGAGTATATTACTAACTACCGAATTTCTTTAATTCAATAAGCTGAGACATATACCAATGCCAATTACCTATCTATTTGATAGGTCTATTTTTGTACGTCTCGTCAGATAATCCGTCATTCATAGACTACTTAGTCACGTTAATTTCGGCTGTAGATGATCTTTTAGAATTACCTGCAATTAACTTATAAAAAAAAAAAACTTTTTACAATTTTTCTTTAAGATAAATATATTACAATGTATAAAAATACAGTTGCAAATTGTTGTTTCCATAGCGTTACTTAAGTAACTTTCAAATATTTTCATTAATTATATTTACCAGTCAAAGACTAGGCATTTAAATATACTTGTTTACAATTAATATCTTTGTTAAGCGGGTTAAGGAGACATCGCTCGAACAGTTCGGTCAAGGTATCCGGGCCAAAGGTCGATGACAGCGCACGCTCTCCGCGGTTCACTTACCGCCAAAATTTACGAAACATATAAATAGCAAAACAAGTGATTCTGACCTGATGACATTGACTCGTTTTCTGACTTTGGTGTCGTGGGTGGCATTGGTAAAGGCATGGACGGTAAGGGCTGCGTGGGTGGTTGCTGTTGCTGCATGGTGCAAGTGTTGCCCAGCAGCGATTGTGTGGCGTTATATGTCATCCCGTCCTCATAGGTCCCCCATAGCTCCAACCCCACATATTCGGGTGATCCTAGAGAATCCGGCGACATAACCATAGCTGGTGGCAAGCCCAGAGCCGAGGACGATGTCACTTCAGACGAGCTCTCCTCGAGCATTCGCAGTGTCTGGAAGCCTCCGTTGTTGGACCAACGGCGTCTCATGTCGGCGAGCGCGTCACCCGCACAACTATCCACTGGAGCCGTCGGACATCCTCCGATGTAAGCTTTCACTTCACTTTTTTCCCGCACTAAACTAATAGAAGTGCACCAATCGTAATCCAGTCTTGATAGTTGCACACTTGTAAGACTAGAAATAGTCGATAATAAAGCGGTGAAAACTTTTCTGGTCACTACACAATCCACGCAACTGGCAAGGAGGACTTGCGTGTTCCACGTTCCACGAGTCGAATACGACCGGCGAAGTTTATCAAGGTAGAGAGTTAACCACGTCTGAATTCATAAAACGTTGCGCGCGCGACCGTCGTCAACGGAGTACCGAGAACGTAGAGCGAGCGAACTAGCGACGCGTCCGCTCTCACTACTCACTGCCACGGTCGCGGTGACGTCACACGCCCCGCACTCCTCACGAACCCCGCCGGCCCCTGCCGCGCAGCCGTGGCACAGAAACTCAAGTCAACTCAAACTCACTCACCATAGTCGTTTGTCGTCGTCGAAAATATTGTAGCGGCCGATAAAACACCCTCAATTTATGAAACAACTCATTCTATCAAACCAGCTTGGAATCTGTTACTTGTTACGTAGCTTTTGTTATTTCATTCAAAACTATCTTGCTACATTATTTTTAGACAAAAACTATTTAAAAAGACTTAAACGGTAGAGTCGATTTTTATTTTGTCTATCTATATAATTAGAACTCCTATAAGCTACCTATACTATACCTCCTATACCTATAAGCTTCAAAATATTAAAATTACACAAAAATATATTACGTTTTAAAAAAGATGGTAGATTCGTAATAATATCCCACTATTTTTAAATTAGATTTCCTACGTTTATAGAGATATTGCCTGTGACCACGAAAATAAAATTTAAACTCGTCTAAGTATAGGTAAGTCAATTTTAATTTTATTTTAAGTAAATTATAACGTAGAGTACCCAGGACATAACCGAATATTTAATAAACAATGTATTTACCTATTTAAAAGCTAATAATATATATCACTGGACATGGTTACAATAGATTTATTTATACCTATGTATAAGACCATCGAACTTCTGATGGCCTTGTAATATAATATATTAAGATATGTAATTATAATCATAGCATAAAAATTAATGGATTGTTATGATAATTATGTGGCCATGATTCAAATAATATCGACTTATTTTGTTTAAAATATTGTAAAATTACTGATTACTTATTTTGGCAGATATTGGTTTTGATTATAAATAACAGAATCACTATTTTTGGGTGTCATTTGTATTTTTTTAGATATGCAAAAATACTTATCACAACAAATAATAAAAAAGTACACTTCTGAAATATACATATATTAACTAATTAATTTAGAGAGCCGTCTTAAATTTTCTGCCGCCAATTTTACGTTACAGTGACGTGATCGTATTCGTAATAAGTATAATTATTCTTCTCTAGACTGCATATAAATATATTTAGAAAAAATTCCGAACGTGAACCATGTTGAGTAAAAGTATTATCATTTAGACAAATAAACAAATAATGCTACTAGATTAGATTAAAGCTTGCCTTGTAATGATGTCGGCCATGATTGTTGGCTAGAGCGTCACCGGATCACGTGTACACATTGGGTTATTGACCTTTCTAGTGTTTTGGTAATACATCACAGTGCCATCGCAGAGTCCATTGCGAATTGGAGATACCTACCTACCTATATCTACATCTTAGACAAATACAACATCAACATTTTGAAATCAATCTTGCTTAACTCTCTACTCAGTATTAAGTGGGAAGTGTTTGCAATTTGTCTATTTCTTAGCGGAATTATAAATTAATTACGTTTGTTATTCATATGACAAAAAGTAATGGTTCTGAATTTTTTATCCCGAAATATGTTTGTAGCATTATTATCAGTCAAGATTAGTAAACACGCTGGACTGCTTAGGTAAAGGAAAATAAAATAAAAGTAAATCAAACTCTAAATTCTTAGTAATTTATTCGAGAAATTTTAAATGCATTGGACGAAAATGATTTTATGAGAAATATAAAAATATATTCATTAAAAGAACAGCCGTAGCAAAGGGATATTTAGTCACAGCCCAAAAGTTTTTTCTATGATACAAATGTGAATGAATGAATATACTTTGTTGCACACAGTAAATATTATCAATATTAAACTAACTACTCCTAGAGTCCTGAGATAAAAATTGCTAATTAGAAAAAAAAAGTGATTAGATAATAGACATAAATATTATATAAGTACTTATATATTAAAAGCATCGGACCAACAACTAAGTAATAAAGATACCCACAATAAAGTTATGGCCTTTCTCGTAAGACACATGGTAAACATTGTGAATATTTGTCATTATTATTTTAATCTTATCGAATCGATTTTAAGCTTTAACGTGTTGACGGAGAAGTTCAAATTTTATTTATGAAATCGGTCCTTTTGCTGTAACTTAGTGTATTGCTGTCAATAATAATAAATATTGGGTTAACGTGATCTGTGAAAAAACAATGTTTTCGTTTACGAATCACGATCAACGAAAATCGAAGAGCATGAAATAAATCGAATTCTAATGGTGCTTGAAATCGCAATCTAATGATTGGTCATAGAGCACGAGGTTTTTCGTTATGACGTGTCTGTAAAATGTACTTTCATAAACAAAAGTTTTAATATCCTTGCATATACCTTAACTTAGTTAATTATATTATTTATTAATATATAATGAAGCCCTACGCTAGACACATTATCCCTATTTTCAGTCGCGTATGCTGTAGATTCCCGCAGGTGAAAGAATGTTTAAAATCGGTCCTGTACTTTGGCTATTCAATTTAAAGAAACAAACTCTTTATAATATTAGGATAAAACCGATATATTGCATTGCTATCTTATATTAGGAATGATCGATATCAATCGATATATTGAATAAGCTTTCTTTGTGAGATTTGCAAAGGGATACTTTACTCGGGGATCAACACTATACAATACTCCCGCTTCCAATTCACGGGGTTCATGCCTAATTCAATTTATCTAGTTGCGTAGTAGTGAAATCAAGTAAATGACAAAAATTTTATATCACTTAACAACTTCAAACAAAAACTGATACTGATTTTATACAAGTTACTAAGTTTTTAATTTATTCGTGTAACAATCTTCGTAAGTAGTCAAAAAATCATAAGGTGATAGATTGATCATGTTTAAAAGATAATTTTATAGAAAAATAAAACATACAGTTTTAGAGGCATAATTCCAGAAGAGGTCGTGACTGTAGATGAAATTTTCTTTAGAGATATTATAGTTTCTTATTCGACGAGTAACAATGAGAACTTGCTCGTTAGTTGCTTAAACCTTGCGAGATTACTATGAGGGATAATTTTATGTATACCTACAATTTGATAAAATATCTGATCAAATATCTATTAGATCTTTTTTTAGTCTTACAATTGTATTTATGGTATATATTAAGGGGTCTTAATCAGCATATATTTTTCCTGTCATGCCCTTCATTAGGTGGTAGCATAGTGTGGTTCTTTGTTCTGTGGTGGAGTTGGTATGCAGGAGAGGAACGGCAACGACGAACGGCACAGAGGTGCGTGCTATTAAAATTGTTGTCTTAAAACTTACGTTATGCAATTCGGAAAATTTCAAATCGTTCTTATAATTTTGTATTAAAATCACGTCCGTGAAGATTATCTGTGTATCAGGGCAGTATCAGGTCCTACCTTCGTTGCATTATATCGAAAAATTTCTTTGGAGCTGAAGTATTGTTTTCGAAAACAGAGCAAATTTCGATTTTGTAGAAATAGAATAAGTATCCGGCCATATTAATTCGTACAATTAGTAACTATGTTCATTTTTAGGCGACGTTTACGTTATTGACTATATTGTAATGTTATTGGTTTTCTGTGATTAATGGTTTGCCTGTTATGAAATGTAAGGTATACGGAAATTGTGGTTAAACTTTGTCACCAGGATGAGTTGTTTCCTAGGAAAAGTTTTTATTGCTCATAGTTCATTCCTAAACTATGATGATCATTCTTTGTGAACTTTGAAGGTTGATTCTGAAGAAAATATGATTTAACTTTCAGTCTTGCCTATCAATATAAAAGTGTTTATGTAACAATTAAAGTGTGAATATGTGTAGTGTGCGCCTAAAATTATGTTTTTTAAGTTATAGTTTCTCAGTGGAGTGAATTCGTATTTATGAGAAAAAGATATTCTTTAACCGTAATATTATAAAGTGATTTTGTTTATCCTTTTTTCAGGACACAATAGAACGTCATTATGGTGTGATATTTTTGTGTGATGACAGTCAGTAAGCTAAAAAGTAACACAGACTACTCTGTACAGCAAAACAAATAAAAGAAATGAAAAATTATTTTAAAGACAGCTTTTATTTGGTGTATTGTAATCTACCACTTAAACCATTTTCCTTTTGATATCCATACTTGATGGGTTGTTCAGAAATATGCGCCGCCATTTTGTTTATGAGGTCATTTAGATTAATAATAATATCGCTTATATTCAATTGCATTGATGTCAGAACTAAATGTATGTCAGATATAAATGTTTCAAATTACAGCTCAAACGTAGACTGGGAAGTGGGTAAAATTTCATTATAGAAAGACAAACATCGGGACTGGGGAAACTAAAAAATTTTAGCTTGTTAAAAAGTATTCGTTATATAAAGTCGAAATTAAATTGTCAATATCGCAATAATTATAACACTATTAAGTGAAGTGTATTAACGAGAAACAAATAAAGCTTTTTTCTCAGTCTGTACCGGTCAAATGATCAAATTTGTACAGTCGTGAAGCTGTCCAGTCGTGCGTGCAGTGAGCCATTCACACTGGCTCTTCATTCGATCCATATCTTCCCTTCACGTAATACATATTAAAATTGTAAATATGTCCTGAATGTGTCTTTTATTTGTAACTAACAGTTTTATGTTTTGATTAAAAAAATATTCAATCATCCGTCGCGGCGCTTATATATACCCAATTTTAAACATACTTGCTATAGAGGTACCTTCAAAATAAGCTTTTATAACTATCAACTTTGATACATTAACAAAAGTAGACATGACCTTTAGCGCTATTAAACAAATAGACTGACTGATGTTACTGTTCCATAAAAGTATAATATACGAACATTATCACAATTTGTTGGTTACTTTGTGAAAGAAGCTATATGCCCCAGTGGTTAACGCGTTCGTCTGCGATGCGGAAGTTAAGCAACTTTCGCAAGAGGCAGTCATAAGATGGGTGACCAAAATTTTTTATCTCGAGCTCTTTCGCGAGCTTTGGAAAGCAGGTTAAGCCGTTGGTCCCGGCTGTATCTGCATGCAACAGGACCCGCGTG